ATGTGTCACATTGACTTTTCAAACCGTTTCTTTTCACCAAATAGCTAAAGAATTTCAATTTCACATTTAAATCAAAATTGAATAAATTTCATTAATTAAAAACATTTGGTTGTACAAAACCTATCAGAGCATATCCAACACAAATCTCTTAATACATGCCAACTATATTTAATATACCAAAATACATATGGTTCAAAACTCTTTTCTGATCTGATCTTTGGAAAGGAGAGGTTGACCTGCCTTGCTCCTCTGTGCTCTTTAATCTTCTCGAAACCTACATGTGAAACATTCACACGCTAAGTCTATGACTTAGTGAGGCATAATAACACGTATAATATAAACTATAATTCCTAACAATGGATGCATATTCATACTATCATATCATACAACCTTATATGCCCTTTCATGTAACAAATACATACATACACATATATCATCATTTACATTTTTAAACGTTATCATATATTTTATCACTAATTCCTCTTTATCATATATTATACTTATCATTTATACACTTCATATAACACATACCATTTCACCAATAAACACGCATAACATCATACCAATTTTATTTATATTATCTCTTTATTAACCCGTGTATACTTCTGAGAACTAAAGATATGCGAGTACATAGGGATTATGCATATATGTTGTCACCACAGCTCGTATAAAGTCCCACTATGGGTATATAGAATTTGTCCCGAAGGATCACATAGATGTCCCGAAAGACCACTCCTTAAGGACCACATACATATTCCAATGGACCAAATAGGTGTACCGAAGTACCACATATATGTTCCAAAGGATTACATATATGTCTCGAAGGACCACGTAAAACCCTCGACTCTTGGCATGCCAACTATACCTCTAGCTCTCATTTCACATAACATGGGCATTATCATTATATTTGTTACATATTTACATGTTCATATAATCACACAAATCCTTACATACTTATATCTTTGTACTTGTAATCTCATATCTTTTTTTCACGTAGATCATGTAACATTCTCATGTAGCCTCATAGCTCATTGTCATATATAACATATCACATAGCTCGTATCATGTAACATATACTTTGTTCTCTTATCATTACCTATTCATATAATCCTTTATGTTTATATCACATATATTATTTATATGCATTCACATGGATCATGTAACCTATACAATAACATATAACACATACATTCACATTTAAGTACTTAATCACCCATAACAATCCTATCAAACACATGCTTACATCCATGAATTCATGCCTTATAATATAGGAAATAGACTCATCGCAAGTCTTATTTCCATTAAACATCATATACCAACGAGTATGCACTCACATGGTCTCATTAGTCAATATCGATCTCTTTCTCGATGACTATTACTTGGTCGACTCGTCCGGACTTTGCTCTCGATCGCTATCTATACGAATATACAATCCAATAAATATCGAGATTTGAATTACTCGAAAAGATTCTTATGAATATATACTAACCAAAACATTACTTTCTTAATCCCAACTTAAGTAGCATCGGTACTATTGTTACAGTACTGATACCCTCATGCTTGTAGTATCAATACCCTTCCACGATATCGATATCCATTTTCGATTCTGTAATTTCATATCAAGAATGGTATCGATACCTCCACATTGGTATCGATACCCCATGAAGATTTTACAAACATTTGCCTTATAATATCAATATTGTTCATGCAGTATCGATACCCACTCATAGCTATCACTTAATATTGCTTTGTAGTATCGATACCCAGATTCTACTTCATTAACCTGAAAATTATCATCACTTTACCTAAACTCCACTTATACTACTCCCTTCATGCCATCAAACTTAATTATATATACTTAAACCATCGTTTAACACTATAACACATCATCATCTTCAATATCTCATTATATTTCTTAGAACCAAAAATCTTACTAAATTTTCAACATGTTCTTAATTCACTTCTATAGCTTCTAACTTCTTAATTAGACCCTTGACAAATTAAATTTCCCTTCAAAACTTATTTACTAACTCTTTCTCAATAATTCCCTTAAAAACTCTGTTTACTTAATTTCTCATAACTTGTTCATCTTTGAGTTTTAAGCCACTTTAAGCATTCCTTTACATTTCTTAATCCTCCTAGAATCAAAATCCATCATAAAATTAAGGAATAATCAACTTGTAAGAAACTCACCTTTTTAACTGAGCTCACAGAAAGAAGAATCTAGCTGAACCCAACTCTCCAGACTTTTATTTTCCTTTTCCCCCTATTCTCCACGTGGTTATATCCTTATAAAGGAAATATAATTTTTTTTCTTATCAAATGACCATTATACTCTTTCTACTTTCAAACTTTTTTATTAGCTCCAACACCAAAATTCTCCAATTAAGTCCCTAAACTTTTAATCTTTTTTGAAATTAATCATCAATTTTCAAAAAATTTCATTTTAGTCATTAACCCGGTTTTTGGGATGTTATAAAAAATTATCGAAATGAAATCAAATTTGACCATCTTACTTTATCCTTTCATCACACGAGAAAGTCTTTATAAATTTTATAAGTTCACTTTCAATAGAGTACGTATACCCTTTTGAATCAATAGTATCCAACGAAATCAAATTCTTCTTCAAATCTAAAAGTGCTTCACATTACCAAGTGTAGTTCCATAGAACATCTTAATCTTGATTGGGTCAATGCCAACGATTTTACATGAGACAATATTCCCCATAAAAACATTACCTATAGACACGACTTTATACGTCACAAACCAATCTCGACTGGAACACATAAAAACGACAATTGAAATCAATAATCTACTTCTTGCTTGCTATAGACTTTATCAAAAGCAATTAGAAGTTCTTCTTCATCATAATCTTCCACTATGTCAATTTCCTTGGAATTTTTAGTCATTTTCTCTTGTGATCTGCAATATCTTTCTTGTTTCTATTTTGGAACATGTAACATTTAGATTTAATATGCTCATTTTTCTTAATATAATAACAAGTTTTACCTCTGTTTGATGACTTCGACCTATCGTTGGCCTCACTGCTAGGAAAATTGTTCTTGAGTTATCCTATGCTCGAAGAGACCTTCTCCCTAATACTCAGATCCAATCACGGGATGCCTCATCTTATTATCTGAGGTTAAGACATCATAAACTTCATCAATAGTTGGAGATCCTTAACTATACAAAATTGTATCTCTAAAGATCGAATAAGAAGAAGAAAACAGATAAAATACAAGAAAATAAATTCACATCCTCTTTATGATACGTAACCTAAATGATCTCCAACTTAAAAATAGTTTCTTTAAAGACAATCAAGTGATATACCAGAGACATAATAAAGACGTTGTTTCAGGTATAACTTGCTAGTTATAGTTTTCAACATGCACAATTACTCCAACTTCAATGATAAAGCAACTTTAATATTTTTCTTCAACATGCACAATCGGACCTATCAATCATATACGTTAATTATCCACAAGGATCAATGTCCGAGGCATCTTGTGTAACATTAGCATAACATCATCCAAATTCATATATGCAAAAATTGTCTGTTTTTATCAATCACAATGTGAATTTAGTGTTGTGAATCAACAATGAAATTTCATACTTTAGAGATCGTGATCGAATCAAACAAAATACGTTATGGTAATATCTTATTATACTTTATGATAGGATAACGATAAATATAAGTGATCATACAATAAAAGAAACGTAAATTTTATGAAAAAACCTTAAGAAAAAAATCACAAACAAAGAAGATACATTCATTATAATGTCCAAACAATCAAAATTGTTTTGAGTGACTTAAACGACTTAATACTGACCCTAATTCCTATCATCTATTCATATAGATAATTATTTGATTATAAATGAATCTTACATTCATTTTAATTGTATTTTCTATTTTTAATCAACATCTAATAAAAAATAGTCATAAACAAACCGAATATATATATTGACGTGAATCAGAACACGAATCATAAACTCTGACCCTAATCTATTAAGCTTGAAATCGAAAATTTTATTGTAGTGTGTTTCAATATAATTGCCGACAGTGAATGAGCTGCGCATGGATTCAATATGCTTGTCTCTATATATAAATATTAATAAAATTAAAATTTACAAGTTACCAAGTGAATGTCATAATCAACTGAGAAATTAATGAATTAATATGTTACCAAATCTATACAAAAAGGTTCATTGAACAAAAATTGATTTGGTGGATATTTGTTCAACATGTTTTTTCCCTGTCTGAATTGAAACATTGAGGTCAATTATAAATTTAATACGGTGAATTTACCGATTTAAAAATTATACATCTTTCACCGATTCAAATCTAATATGTTTTTTTTAGATAAAATTCAAACCTGACCTAATATGACCTGAAATAATATATTTATAAAAAATATTACTTTATTCAATAAAAAATAATGATTTAATTGAAAAAATAATATATAGAGGGGTATTATTGTAATTATCCCTAAATATATAAGGTAAAATTACATTTTTTTAGATCAGTCGGATATTTTTCACCCTAAACTTGAACCCAATCCTATCAAAACATAATCTCTAAAAACCCCGATCCAATAAGATCCGAACAAATCAAAATCCGTCATATTCGAATCTATACTCAACCCTGTGCAGTACATCTAATCACTAACCTCCTTAAATTGAGGTCACTTTATAAAATTGTTTAGTATATGATTAATGAAGTAGGTATACGTCACTCTCATCCATTATCTTTGTGATATCTCTTATCCTGATTTTGTATATATATATATATAAGAGTATGAGTCGAGTTTTGTATAAGAAATAAACTTTTAAAAAGTATGTTAAAATTTTAAAGATATATAACGGAATTATAAAATTTTAAAGATGTGAAATCAAATTATTAAAAAAAATTAAAATTTTAGGATGCCACGATCGAACATCCCTCGGTCCATGCGTATATATTAACCATTCTGTCCTCTTTATAAAAGGGGAAGAGATATAGCTCAAAGTCGAAGAAATCTGTACATTATGAGCAATGAAATATGCATATTAGAATTTTTTATCTTCTTCATCTTATCTTCCTCCTACTTGTCATGGTTCAAGGCTTATAACAAGTCGTGGAAAATGATCCATCATCTCACATGGATCACATGGATCAATCAGCCATGGTGTTTTTCACCTTGAAACATCTTAAAGTCGGGAACTCGATGCCAATATATTTTCCGCAGAAAGATTCTTCGAGTTCTCCTCGCCTTTTGCCTAGAGATGAAGCTGAGTCCATAGCTTTCTCATTAAAATCACTCCCTAACCTGCTTCGGTTCTTCGCTTTCTCGGAGGACTCTCCCCAGGCTAAAGCAATGGAAGGTACACTCCGAGAATGCGAAACTGAATCCATCAAAGGGGAGATCAAATTCTGCGCTACTTCTTTGGAATCGATGCTCGATTTCGCAACCAACATCTTTGGAAACAATGACGATTTCAAGATCGTTGCTACAGAACATCATACGAAGTCGAGCACACTTTTCCAAAACTATACCATGTTAGAAACACCGGAAGAGATACCTGCTCCGGTGATGGTGTCGTGTCACACCAAGCCCTACCCTTATGCCGTACTGTATTGCCATAGCCAGTTGACGGAGAACAAAGTTTTTAAGGTATCATTGGGTGGTAAGAATGATGATATAGTGACCGCGGTTGCTGTTTGTCACATGGATACTTCGCAGTGGAATCGAAACCATGTGTCGTTTCGCGTGTTGGGGATCTAACATGGGACACTTCCTGTCTGCCATTTCTTCCCGGCGGACAACTTTGTTCTTGTTCCGAACACTTGAATTTGTAGTACTTGTGTTTGTTGCGAGACATGTTGTCTCGAGTAATAAAAACTTTATAGAAGATAGATTAAATTATTTCTGTTTTGATGATCCAATTATTTTTCTTTAAAATTATATTTAATGTTATGTTTTGTTTTATTTTAGTCACCTTCCATTTAATTTTGACAGTTAAATTAACGAAAACAATGATATCTCATGGTATAATAATAGTTCTAGTCCTCATAATTTAAAATAATTCAATAGATCATCTTTCTCGTTAAAATTTTGACTTTCTGTCAAATTTTGGCCACGGTCTCGTTAAAATTTTGCTAAAACCCCTTTCGAATTGAAGTTACAATATCTTCCATGGGTAATTAGAGTTGGCTTTCTGGAACAAGAACTGGAAAATTTACTGAATGCAGAGTGATGCTTTATTCGGTTACATGCATGCACCACGAGTCATGGTTTTCGTAAATCCGACATTAAATATTAATAATTAAATCCGACATCAAGCATTAATAAATTAATAAATTATTTTAAATTAAAATAAGAATCAAATTAATAGGATTTTGAAATATTGAGGTTTTATTGAATTATTTCAAATTATTATGAATTTAATAGAATATGTGAGTTTTGATGATTAATATTGTTATTATACTATGCCATAACATCATTTTCGTTATAATCAAACCGAACATTGGGAGACAAAACAGAAACGAAACGTAGTGTTAGGAATGGTTGTGAAAAAAAGTTGAGTGACCAAAACAGAAACATGAGAATAGATGGGTGAGAAATAATTAGTTTAACCTAAAAATAATTAAGTCCTCAAATTTTATAGAAAACCAGTTAAATTTTCTGCCATATCATCATTCACGTGTTATCTGTTTTCTTCAAAGTTCTGAGAAAATTAATACCACCAGTTTTCATATTAGTTTTTAAGTGTACAAATTTTGAAGGGTTGTTTTAATCATAGGGGACAATGTACATTTTTAATATTGCATTAATTAGGATGATTTTATTTCTAAGGCAGTGGTTTATCTATAATATGATCAAACTAATATTTTGTCTTTTGATTATTTTCCAGTCAATACTAATATCTCAATTTTATAGTAGTTATTTAATATTTCCAATAAATAAAACACAAGTGATTAAAATGAATAAACTTGTCTAAACTAAAATTTATAAAATGTGTATATCAAATAATTTCCTTATAAAAATATCCATACTTTTCTTAGAAAACCCCATTATCCCTTGATTTTTTTCATTAAAGAATACATATGGATATATACCTATTTAAATCTTTTAATTTTTACTTTATTTAGATTTTATTCTAATTTTATCATCAATTATACTTTACCCCTTAAATTGATATCGTGTCTCCTCAGTGAAAAACTCACTTCTTTTAACATAAAAAAAAATACTCTACACACACAAAAGCATCATCGTATTTTGCAAATACTCTGATTTCTCATTTAATGTGTTTTCTGTAAAACACACTAATGAGTTTATTCCGACAGATATTTCAAACCAATAAGAAAACAAAAGTTTATTCTGACAGAGACACTCATATACTAGGGTGACACTAGAAATATTTAGCCGATGGTTTCGTTTCACTTCAATCAGTTCTGGTAAAAGGTGGCGGTTGGCTCCGATTCAAAATCACTGGTGAATGATTTTTACTCTCCTTTTAGATCATGAACCTTTGGCTCAGTAGGCTTTGGGAAATAGTAGCTTACCTTGCTTTGGCATGCCAGATGCGACTTGATTTCGCTGTGGTTCAAGATCATTGATTGAGTAGATCCCGGGACAAAGGGAGTTTCACTGATCCGAGGGAGAATAGAGAAAAGCTGTCTAGGGCCTTCTCTTTGCTTAAATAAAGCATAGAAGAGGACTCAAAGTCAAAAGGAATAAGCAATAGGTAATAAGCGAACTCTAAGGTTTGGATTTTTTATTTACTTGAATTAGTCAATCTTGCATTTCGACTGCTTGCTCAGATCTCCTTATGTAATGAATGAGAAGATGCGGTGAATCAATCAGTATTAGCTAAGGAAATCCACAACAATAATCTTCTCTTCCTCGAGTTCAATGCTTGCAGGTGTATTGCACCTAGCAACCTAGTGTTATTGTCGGAGCCGGCGGAGGCAGCCTTGACTCGAACAAGCTCCACGAATGCTTCGGGCATAGGTTGATCTTTCATTACAGTATTCCGCAATATCTTTCCTAGCTGCTGCAGTGGTGTCTGCAAACTGCATCCATATAAAATATGTATAATTAACCATACAAATGTGAACAATATATATGTATTTATAAAATATGTATTTAAAAAGCTATCCGTTATCAAAATAGTAGTCGTTATATATATCAACATCTATTTCCGTCCGGGGTCTTTATTACATTGTATAACATAATATATATAATAATTTTAAATATAATTTTTGAAAATATATATATGTTTTGAAAACGTATTTTTGAAAACATATAATATATAGTTTTTGAAAACATATATAATATAGTTTTTGAAAACGTATTTTTGAAAACATATAATATATAGTTTTTTAAAATGATTTTGAAAACGTATAATATATAGTTTTTAAAACGGTTTTGTAAACGTATAATATATTTTTTTAAAACCGGTTTTGAAAACGTATAATATATGATTTTTTAAAAATGGTTTTTGGAACACATTTATAATATAGTTTTAAAACGTATTTTTAAAAACATATATATATAGTTTTTTAAAAATGTTTTTGAAAACGTATATAATTTATATAGTTTCTTTGAAAAGATTGAAATATAATATATATACATATTATTATTAGTATTTTATTTTTCGTTTTTAATATTTTATTTGTTTTTATTAACTTATCATATTTTTATTATTTTTTTCCAGGTCCAGTTAAGTCCAAATATGATTCCAAAGGGTCCAAAGCCTAAGGTAAGACCCAAATTCGACTCAACCAAATCAGCAGGCCAACCCGGTGGGAAGCCCGAACCCGTTTGCTTGACCCAGTAGAGGATTAGGGTTTCATGTTTAACTAGGAGGGTCACATGGTTCTGGATCGTTAGATTGAGGATGGATTAATGACTCAGATCAAAGACAGCTAGGGTTTCAACCCTAGCATCGGCGTCGCAAAGGAGTGACAGCCGTTGGATTTGGTCAAAATGATCCAACGGTGGATCGAGAAAACCGAAAGGCACCCACAGACTGAACAACGGTCATGCACCGATGAAGCATTCAAAGCCGAGAAAAACTCTGAAAAATCGGCTGTAACCAAGCGTACATGAGAATCTCGACAAAATCGGGAATGAACCATCCCGTTTTAATCGATAACAACCATTACCGATGGGGTTATAAAATCCCCCGAGAATCATAAAAAAGAAACAGAAAAAAGCCAATCAAGCAACCAAGCAACATATCAGCAAAAAAAGCCACAAAAGTAATCAAAAAAAAAAGAGTGCAACAAACAATAAACATCCAAAACCCCAAAGGCCAAAATATTTCGAAATCAAAAATAAAGAAAAACAAAGCTTAAAGTTTTGTTTCGTGGGAGAACGCCGAGGACGCGAAGGAACGTCATCGAAGAGGAAAAGACGCCGAGAAGTGGAAAGGCATAATCAGAAAAGGTAAAAAATTAAGGGTTTCTTTTTTAGATCTATGCCTTTCAGGGTCGATTTTGGAGATTTAGGTGTTATATTTGGTTTTAGGGTGTAGAGGGGAACATTTTGGGAGATTTGTAGTTTTTCGGCCACTGGTGGTTGTGGTCGGAGCAACAGTTGGTGGTGGTCCGGGTGGTGGCAGCTTCGCCGATGAATGGCTGGCCATATGCCGATTGTGGTTTTGAATGGGGAGAGTTGAGAGTGTTTTTTTAGGAAATTGGTTAAAATGTTTTTTTTGTGGTTTTGGGGCTATTTATAGAGAGGGTTGAAGTGTAATTAGTAAAATTTTAAATTATTTTTGTAATCTCTATAATTCTGATACGTAATTCATTTTGGTTACATGTTGTGAATTAGGCTTGAATTTTAAATTAATTTGATTTATTTGCTGTTTATATTTATTATATTTTGCGAATTCACCCTCTAACTTTTTTCCCTTAAAGCTTTCAATTAACATCAATTTGACCCCTAATTTTAAATTCTTTCCAATTTAATCATTCTTTAATGATTGTTTTCTTTCAATTTAATACCTTTTTACTTTGTTTTACTTTATTTAACATTAATTTGACTCTTTTTTAGGGCAATTTTAACTTCATCAAAGGTAAGTAATTCGGGTCAAACTTTAAAATTTTAATTTAACCTTTAGTTTTCACAATTAATAGAATCGAGAAATCAAATTGGTACCGAAAGGGCATTACAGGGGTGCTAATCCTTCATTGATTGTAATCGACTCCCGAATCCGACAAATTTATGGTAAAATGTAGATCAGATAAAAGGTAAGTTAAGGTAACCGATCAACCTAATTTAAAATTATAGGTGGCGGCTCTGACACATTAAATTCAAGTCGAAACTCGATTCCAGGCCCACCCTAAGGACGGTTACGATAGCTTGGTAACTCCACTGGGGACGTAAGTGAGTCAGGCCAAAATTAATTTCCGGTTGTCTTCTTAAGCGAAAATTGTAAGTTTAAATTCTAATTTATCCTTTCAAACCTTGTTATTTACTTTTTTTTTGAACAAATAGTTGTACTAATGATTTTTCAATGATTTTAGCTTTTTCAAAATTCAATCTCAAGCTCTATTCCCAAGCTCTAAACCCTTTTTAAGTAGAGGTGAAAGCGATGCCTTCGTGGGAATTTATTTTTCGTATATGCCTAGCAAGTAACCATTGGGATTCTTATACCTTATGTCTTCGTGTGAATTTATTCTCTGTACAAGCATAAGGGAATGTATCCTCTCGAGTTTAACTTGGTCCATATGAGCTTGTAATGGGCTTAGGACTGAGGGTTTGGCAGGCCCAAGGGGGCACCACCAAGGAGAACTCGGGTACCTTTTTTTAGAACCTAAACCGGGATGTTGCAAGGAATTAGAGCCCGCCCCGAAACTT